CCTTCCAAGGAGTTTCTTAGATTATCCCTCCTTCGGATTGATCCTAACTACATTCCTACCCTTTTGAAACGTTACGATTTCGGAAATTATACACGGGATCGTGTTGCTACCTTACACCCGGTTCATTCGAAATCCGAATCACATAACCTTCTCTTTCAACCAATCAGCTGTTGCTATGAAAGGAGGAAAGACTCATTCACCCATTGGACGAAAAATCTGTTATCTGTTAGTCGCAAATGCCGCGGACACCCTGTAGCTTCGGATTAAAACTCGATTCGACCCAGAACTCGAAACCTGGAAGGACAGAAGGTCTGAGAAGGCTCGATTTCAGGTGCGAAGGCACTACGCGGTTTCGGTGTGCACTCGCAACCTGTCGGCTGTCGAGGGAAAAAACGCGACATCTCTATCTCCGATCGCGCGACGTACTGTCCGTTCGCCCGCACATTCCGCACGCACTTACATACTACCACACACGCACGCGCAGTGTGCACCAACACGCACCACGACGGTGAGCAGCACAACGGTGCGGGTTACAACACCCGAGATTGTGTTGGTGATTAATCAAAAAAAGGCCGTTCGCGAAAATGGCCGATGGACGCGAGCCACGGTTGTTTTCTACGAGAACCCTGTACCAATTGTGCGTGTCCGCAGTGGTCGACAGGTTCCGCATCTACAAACCATACCTCGTCGACCTGCCCAAGAGCGTGCGGTTCGATCTCTATTATCAGGTAAAAAGGACGTCAAGCTGTGCCGTCGTCGGCGTGACGACGACAGGGTCACAGGGGAGAGGAGGGCTTCCGTCGATCGGAGTCACCCGCGTGCGATGATAACCACGCTTGTTTCTCTGTCTCTTCGCCTCATCGTGGAATGACGGGAATGACATTGTTCAAACGCTCTGCATTCCCAACGACGACGACGACGACGACGACGACGACCCGCGATCACCTGCGATCTCGCGAGTGTCGTGTCGAGGACCCGACATCCACGACGCGACGAATTTGACGCGTTCTCACTGTGATCCCTCCAATTGGCCAATTTCGTTCCTCGATTGACTCCGATTGACTCCATCGCGTGCGCTTAGTAATGTTTGACATACCCTTGGTTTCTATCGGTCTAATCTCTTTCAGTTATACACAGAGAGGAGACTATGTATATTGGGGGCAGAATTAAGCGATCTGGAGACTTTCTCCAAGATGCTCAAGGTCACCAATCGCCGATTACAACTCCTGAAAATATTTCAGGTGAGCCTATTCAGTATAAGTTTTCAAGAACTTAGATCAAACTTGGATTAAATTAATCAGTGATTAATTCAACCGATAGAATTGCCTAAAGCAAATTTTCAATTCATCATTTCTAATCTAATCTTTTTTCCCATATGTTAAATAAAAATTATTACCATTTAAATTTCAAATACAATTGTATAGTTATTCACTGATTATACTAATCAAAGTTTCTAGATGCCACTGTAATGTCAGTCTCTATCAGTATAGATTAAGTTATTTACTCTTTTATCTTTTTCAAATTCCTAAAAGTAGAAAAAGATAAAAAGTAAGTTAAACTCGAGATTAAAGTTAATCTATATTTTTAGAAATAGAAGAGACTGTCTTATGTTACTTTTTTTCTGACATCAGAAAATACTTTACATTTTTGTATTTTCGGAACTAAAGGCGCCAATGGATCATAAAATAAGGATAGCGAAACATCTGGTCATCAGTTACAATATGTGCTGTTTCAAAGCAAGAGAGAGCCCTTTACCGCAGGAAATTGATAAATTAATAAATCTAGGTTTGAGACTTGGTGGATTTCTCAGTGATGCTGGCTGGTACTCGGAAAGCGAAGAAGTGTTGTTAGCTTGCAAGCAATTATGTATGGACCACAATCAGACCCCCAAGGAATGGAGTAGGACATTAGATTGTTGTCACAAGTAAGAATGTTGACACACATGTTAGTGGATTCAAAAAAATTCTTGTAATTGATTTCTAAGAGAAATAACTAATCCTATTTTTATTAATCCTACCTTTACTTACACCTTTATTTACATTTCTTTCAAAGCTTGCCACATGCAATGCTAGCAGAGCTAATGTTTTTAAAACGCTTGGAAGTATTTAATCTGTAGTGTATCAATTTACTGTTGTAAAATCTCGTATCACTAATTAAATTTGATTTTATAACATCAGTTGTGAAACTGAATTTAATCATGTTTATACAATATTTTACTCAATAGTTAACGCTTTACAATCCCTGATCACAATCCATATTTTACTGAAATCTTGTATTGAATTTTTTGCGTTGTTGGCTTTTAGTTCTGAAACAAAAACTGACAGGCTTGCTGGAATAACATATTAAGTAATGAAAATATAGAGCAAATTGACTTATGAAATTGACTTATAAATTTCAGAATATATTTATTCAGA